TCCGCAGCCCGAATGCGATCCCGTCGCTGATTCTCGAGCGTGATGCCGATGCAGTATGCCGTTGAGGAGACGATCGAGAGGCACACAAAAGCGAGGCCTATGGAGTACCCTCGACGGTAATATGGACCGTCCTTCGAAGGGAAGGAGTACGCCGCAATGATGCCGCCGATATTGCCGAAGCCGACCTACACAGACAGTCAGCGTCAAAGATTCCGGCCAGTCAATACAGATGATCCTCACCTGCCAGGCACTCCCGATGCTTCGCCTCAAATGGCCCGCCAAATTCGTGTTGAACCAGCAGACCAAAAGCGACATAGATGTGCACGCGCCGCACGCGATGAGAAACAGTGCGGCGTATATCGCGTGGGGGTTTTGGGGGATACACAGGAGCATGATGAAGCCCGTGCCGGCGAGCATGGCCGTGCCGACGCTGAACAGCCACCGATGTCGCAGCTGATCAGAGAGCGTCGCGGTGATCATTGCGAAGAAGAATGCACACACCCAAGGCGGGACGGAGTGCAATTGCGCTTGGATGGCTGGAGAGGACGCACAGAACTTAACATGACCGTTGTAGTTATGGCACTACGGCTTACAAGTGTACCCGAGGTCTTTGATGATTGTGGGTGCAAAGAAGGCGTATCCGTTAGCTGGCACGATCATGCCCAAGTACATCATTCCTCCAAGGAATATTTTGTCTAGGAGACGTTTAGATACTGCAGACGAGGAGATTCGACTACACTCACAGTCCTTGAAGACGTCCAAAATGTTCTTGATCTTTCGTCTACGGCTATTCATCTCCAAAGCCTTCGTGTCATTGCCATTATCATCCGACCTCTCGTCGTACTGGCTCTCGCCGACATCATCCACCAGTCTCACCTTGACGATCTCGCGCTCTTCGGAGGTCAAGAACTTCGCCGTCTCGGGAAAATTTGGAACGAGGAAGAACAACGCGGCCGCGATAACAATGGTCGTAGCACCCTCGATCACGAAGACCCATCTCCACCCTCTCCATCCCCGCACCCCGTCCATCTGGCCAATGCCTGACGCAAGCAGGCCACCAAACGCCCCAACGAGGGTAGTAGAGCAGAAGAAAAATGTATACCGTTTCATACTCTCCTCGCGGCGGTACCACATCGCAAGGAGGTAGAAGCACCCGGGGGACATGCCCGCCTCAAACAGGCCAAGGAAGAAACGAGTCGTCAGGAGGCCTCCATAACTCTTCACCAATCCCTGGCAGAGAGACGTCAGACCAAAAAACCCCATGCATAGTGACAGCCAGACGTTCGGCGAGAGGCGTTTAAGCAGGATATTCGACGGGATCTCTGCGAGAATGTATGGCATGAAGAAAATGACGAGGGTCGCGCGGTACTGCAACGAGGTGAGGTGGAGATCCATCTGAAGGCCGTACAGAACAGCGTTCGAGATGTTGGCGCGGTCGAGAAAGGCCATCAAGTACAAGATGCAGAGGACCGGGACGTCGATCTTCCACAACAGCGCCGCGTTGTTCGTCGTCGTGGATATCGAAAACGACATGGCGGGGGAGGGAAAGACGTGAACGGGTCGCAGAGCCTGATCATTTTACTGCTATTTCTACAAGGTCTGACTCGGTAGGGGAGATCAGGCGTCATTCAGAGTTAAGGGAGTTAAAGGGAGGCGGGTTTCCCTCGGCCGTGGGACCGAACGCCTCCAGCGCAAGGCATTTGCCGAGACGAGGCGATCACAGTACTTAAGTTACTTGTCGAACTAACTTCGACTCGCAACAAATGACCCCGGCTCGGCTGATGGCCCTTGCAAGGAAGGTCGTCCTGTTGGGCATACTCCTTTTCCCTTTTCATACTGCATATTGCCAACTTCTTATTATTGATAAACTCTTATAATACATCAAACCTCCTGATAATCTCCTCCGTGCGTTGTTCTTACAAAAGACTGCCAAATACAATTATCACAACTAAGTAGTTCACTGCCAAGGTTCACGGTGACCGGATTACTGACCTCTCTTGAACCACACTCGGATATCCAACGTGAACTTTAGATTCAGTAAATGAGCGAGCTGCAGCTAGCATTGGTGGACTCATACTACCTATACTTGTCTATAGCCATCCCACCAGCCAAGCTAGTGCAAGGAGATAAGCAAGTAACGCGGCCAACTAGTTTGTTCTACCTGATTGACGACTGCGAGCAGGGATGCGAAATGATAGCTAGACGCCCAGACAGCACGATGGGTGCGCAGACTATTACGTACACAAGTTCTGGAAAGTACTCACTCACTACTATCGCTCGGACTGTTGTTTTATCTTCTGCGGTCCTACGGTAATTTTAGAGGACCGCCCTCTCAGCAATCTTACAATTGCTTGACGTGGATATTGCTGCGATACACTCTTCACCTCAACTCAATAGCTCGCCGGTATGCTTCTACAGGAACTGTGTTGCCGTATGATGTGTCCCCTCTCATTCTGATTTCATCTGCATGGTAAGACTTATGACATGCTTCGCCCTCGTTCTCGTTCTTACCTTGACCTTCCTTATTCTTTGGATGGAATACGATCCGACGTCTTTGCAACCATATTATCCCCTTGCTCGCGCTCTCTCCATCGACTGACTGCTTTTGTCAATGCGCAGGTTAGACACCCGAAGCACTGTCGGTACGCAGGGTTATATTGTAGTGCATAACTACACGGTAGATCTCGACACCTTTTACAAGGGATGCTTTACGGAATACGACCCCAGCCCTATTCCAGAGAAGACACGGGAGCGATTTCGACGAAGGGTAATGGAAGTGACGCCCTCGAATACCCACGACGTGGTCAAATTGTGATACGAAACATCCGATAACGGTCCACCTGTTCGACTACACGGGAATCAAGCCAGACTGAGAGTGTCCTCACACGGCCGGCATGGCGCACCTCGTCCGAGCTACCACTTCAAAGTGTTCAACATCAGCTTTACTCATATTTTGAGTTTCACGTCTGTTGTCGCTGATACCTGCGTCTGTACAGTTACCAGTGCACCCCTTCTATTAGATTTCGAATCCGAGCAAGAACTTACAAGTTCTTGCTTTATACCTTGTCCCCACAGCGATAAATTAAGTCGTGTAGGCTGACTGGAGACAGCTATGTCTGCTCCTGTCACCTGCGACCGGCCATTATACTCGGTGAATGCCACTGTCTTCCGTATACCCTCCATCTTGCCGCTCTCATAACACCACTGTATCATCCAGTTCCCAACCATCATCCTCCAACCATCTCATCTTGGATTTGTGCCTGATGCCGTATTTCGATGCGGACCCAAATGAGCACCGGATGCTGTACGTCAGACCACAAGGGACAGTATATAGTTGATTTATGCGAGAATTGGTAAGGTGATAGATGAATCGTTATTTGTGAGACACGCATCAGCTTTTCAACAAGTTCTCGTATCTCCAGCTGCGTTTGCCGGCGTCTCATTGATTACACCGTGCCTTTATATCGAGTAACCGCTGCATCTCGTAGTGCAGATCCGAATTGGGTTTCATCGACCGGATATGGATTCATACTCGGTAGGATTTGATTCAATGCACGATTTTCCCTTTCAATGTCAGACATACTCCCAACGTTCCAAAGATCTAACCGAAGTAATTGTGTCACCTTCCCCACCGATCCAATATTTCGATTAGTGGCCCACCTGGGTATCATAAATCACAGAATAAGGATAGATGGTAAATGAACGTACATACACATTGTATTCCGGCACTTCCTCGTCTCTACAACATAATAGACGTAGGATATCGCGTTTGTAGAGCAAAAGATCGCATAGTGGACGCAAATGCCTCGCAAAGGATATGTGATGACACCCTTCCTCGTATATTCGCTGGAGGGCTTCGTAAATAAGTGGTATGATAGATGATATGGTATCTCTGCAGTCCGTATCTCCTAGCCAGGAGTCACTGCACGCCAGCATTAGGATAAGATAGTATGCCGCTGTCATCGAACTGAGAATGCATATCTACGATCACTGGATGCCAATCAGCCAGGTCATTGATGCAACTCGAGCAGTTATTTGAGTTCTGACATTACGAAATCTATCAGTCCTCTAGCAGGCCGGTAGTCCCGACGTCTGAAGGAGATCATACTCCAGGGCAGACGCCCAGCCCAATGATATAGCCCGACGTGCTTTCGGTTGTATCTAGAATATCTTCGATAACCACAGTCCTGAGCCATCAGCCCAGCATATAACGCGTCGGGGCCGTTGCCAACTAGGTCGGAGCAGTAACTGATAAATATCTCGATGGGAGCAGAGATACGCTTGATTAGCTTGTAGAACGTTTTTCCAGGACCAGATGCATTGTCGATTGAGTCGTCATCGTCGCTGTTGAAATACTCGTAGTCCTTATTCTCGATGGTGATTCTTGAGCCGGGTCCTAGCCCTTCTGTTGGAAGGCTGCGGAGCTCGACAATTGACATATCGGCGATGAAGGGCATGGTGGCAGGATGCAAGGTGTGTTCCGTGGATTGGTTTATATAAGAGTGATCTGTACAGGATTCGTGCCGAGCTTTTAATTTAGGAAATGCGCGGTTGAGGCTCTAAAATAAGGTCGGAATGCGCGCCACATTGCATCTTTAGTGCCCCGATGGGGCCCAGTACTCACAACATGCGGGAATTATGTGTCAACGATCGACGATAGCGCATGAAGTGTTTTTCGGTATGTGTTTGAGTTGTGCTGCGCTGTAATTGGTTGTATCAGTTCTCACGAGGTCGAGCAAGTACTTCAAAGGGCGAACAAGCGGTCGACTGACCTGGTCTCGAGCCGTAATCAGTTCTGTGGTCTGGCAGCACTACTAATCACTTCTCGAAGTGCAAGACTGTCCTTGAATGTTCTTCTACGTGGCTTGAGATCTCTGCGTTGTCATTGCAAGACGGGTTTCTAAACAACGGCGGTGCTGATAGTCAAGGCTCATCGATCTATAACAACTGGATTGGGAAAATTCGCACAAGTGGAAAAGAGAAAAACTTCGACGTCTCAACGACCAACCTGGGAGTCGAACCCAGAATCTCCAGCTAGGACACAAAGGACCGGAAACTGGCGCGTTAACCATTACGCTAGCCGGCCACGAAGAGCGGCGCCTTTTAGCTTATATATCACTTTATAGACATTTACGGTCAATAGTCGTCAGGAAACAATTATGTTTCGATAAGACGACGCATATCTTAACACACAGGTGATCAAGGATAGTGAGCTACCAGATCAAGGTTAACAGGGACCAGGGACATCCAACGAAAGCTATTAACGTCTCGACCTGGATACAATGACTTGGCCACCTGCACGGGAGATGGTCGTCGACGTCGCGACTCGTCCGACACAGGGCGTGGCATTGAGTGGTCACCGACAGTTGATGTTTCTGATAGGCTGCAATAATGTCACTTAAGGACACAGGTTAGCTGGCGCTGCTAATGGCGATTGCACATTATGCAATTACCACTGGCTAAGTCGCAGTCTAACGAAGACACCGCAGGAGATGCAGTACGTACATCCTGAAAACCTATCGCGGGTTCAAGATATGTGGGTTCGTAGGGAGGTAAAACGTATTTGGGTGCGCCAACCAAACGAACAGTGCCGATTGTCTTCCACATGTTTTGGAAGCTAAACGTCGGCGTAGAGATGATAAGTTGCGGATCGTCCGGACCAAGAGATCCATATGAAAGCCCCACATCCAGGACGGTGTTGTTTGTCCTTCGACATAACGTGCTGAGTGTCCCGTTTTTGGATATCTCGATATCCCCTTTCTTATGCTTCATAAAGTACGATCCCAAGTAGCAGACGCGGCAATCGACAGTGCGAAAGCTTGGCTTTCGTATTTTATCAGACATGAGCAGAAGCGAGGAACGTCGTACAATACGGGACGAACAGATGGGGGCGTGAGAGATGATATCTTGACACTGACCAGTTGTCAATTGTACGGTTGACAACGCGCTGTCGGAAGGACGAGGGTCCGGAAGCCGATAACCTGGAAAAATTGGACATGCAAGGGGTAGATGAAGCGACGTTTCTGGAGATAGGACTGCCTGTGGTTCGGTCGCAATTTCGACAAGGAGGGGCGACAGAGAAGAAGGGATAGACGCTGTGTCCGAAATAGCAGGCGCGCGTAAAGCAGAACAGATGAGACATCCAGTCAATTATACGCTCGGATTATCAGGCATCGAGCCGACGATCGATGGGGTTTACAAAGCCTGGATGCGTGCTTTTGTGATCATTTGAGGCGACTCTTTGGGTTTGGCGCAGTACACGGAAGAATCTTTAAGGTGCGAAAGAGAGTGCGAGGAACCAGAGAACGTCGAGACGAGTGAACTGATCACAAAGCTGATCGCGCAACTTGAGAAAACTGTGCGGAACCACGTGACTGAGACGCGTCAAAACGCGTGGCTTTCGGCCACTAGACCGTGACGATGAAGATGGCGCCAGCCTCAGGTTTTGTGTGTGGCTCTCATGTGGCCATTCCGGAGACCATCAATACTGGTGATGCGGATACAAAGTCGCACTAGACTGGCTGATCTGTTTTTGTTCAGATGTGCGTCGATCATTCTGTATTTCCACAAAGAAAGATAGGTTACGCAGTCTACTCACCGGATTGCTTGGATTCGATCACCAAAGGCCAGAGACCTCATCAGCTGTAACGTACATCTGTCTATTCACTTTATCGGGCAAGCCAATCAAGACATGTCTGCTACTAGCACAACACCGCCATTACAGCTAACACCACCAGACATCGCTGATACCGTCACACCGATCAGAACCCCCGCTCACGTCAAGTTAACCTTTCCGGCGCCAATGGGTACACTAAGTACTCCATATGGCGGAATCCGGTTATCAGTACCGTTGTTGAGCGCTGGCTGGCGCCAAAACTGGTTCGTGGTGAAGTACAACCGGTTGTTCGTAGCGACCGACAGCGTGTCCTGAATCAAACGAAGCGAAACTTTCAGACGTCGTACCCCAAGGGATGCATCATTTAAAGCCTTACCGGCCACTGTATCCGCGGGTCCCGGATAAACGGCATCCACAACCCGACGTCGGGATGGTACATGGTGACGCCATCCTGCTCAGGCGCGCCGATGTAGATCACACCAGACGCATCCGTCTCCATGCCATCAGCGTGGCTGCCCATCGTGCCCAGGAACTCCACAGCAGCGATAGCAGCATTCGCAGCGCTGGGGCTAGCCGGCCCGGGCTCGACCAAGAGGTACGACGTCGGGACGCGGTAGAGGCGTCGCGAAGACAACGGTGAGAAGTAGATGTAGGCACCATCTAATAAGTATTAAGACGCGGGCGTTATCATCAACACATGTGACGTGGGACGGTTCTCAGTACAGACCTGCGCTCAGGGCGAGGCCGTCCGCGCCAGTCGTTATGTGGGCATATATGCCTGCGGGAGGGCCCTGGTTGATAGGCTGAAATGCCGCGCCGTTATAGGAGCTGATGAACTGTGGGTCACCGCGAGTGTAGGGCGTGCCGTCGAGGTGCCTCCAGGAGTTGCCCGTGCCCAGGTCAATGACAATTATCCCGCTACGGCCCTCATTGCTTCAAAAACATAAGTGTCTCTCGGAAAAAAAGGCGAATATGATACGCGCACCTAGAGTCCGTGATGTACGCCACGCCCTTCCCTGACGGGAGCGTCGTGGGCCGGAGATCGAACCTCACATCGTTGAGGTACGTATCAAAGTACGCCGTCGTCGGGGGCAGCACGTAGTTCGCGAACCGCGTCCCATTCTGATAAAACCCAACGAGCTTGGGCCCGCCCGGTGTCGTCGCATACAAATAATTCCCGTCGCTCAGCGGTCGGCCAGTATCGAGCGTCCAGACGCGGTCGAGCGCGTCCACGACGACGCTCTGCACGCTAACGAGATGCTCGGGGTCGCCCGCGCCGTAGTTCGGGTTCGCGGGGCTGACGAAGCCCTCCGCTGGCTGGTTGTACTCCACGGAGGGGAATGCGGCCTCAGTCGTGAAGCTAGTGGCGACGCCTACGGTGAACTGCATGTTGGTGTAGTTGATTTGCGTCGGGAAGTTGACGTAGATTTGGCCGTCGGAGGCGACACTCAAGCCTGTTGGCCACTAAGAAGAGGAGAAATGTCAGTAGTGTGTGAGATTGTAGATGTGCAGAGTGGACGGACCTGGTCATAGAATAGGTGCTCAACCTGGAGAGCGGGCCCGTACGAGGAGGTGTCGTACACTTGGAACGGCTCGTACGGGTCGCCCCAGCGAGACTCGAGCCTGCTGCCGCCGAGTGCGCCTGCTGCTAGAGAAAACACGGTGGCAAATACTACGCTCAGCATCTTGCCTCGGCTTGCATGTCTGCTCGTCCGTGGTTTTTATGTGCTCGGACTGTGGGCGATCAGCGAGGAAGCTGAGGCTAATGATAGGTCGAGAACGCTCTTTAAGATGGAGAACGTGCCTATATGTTACGGAATTATGTCGCGACGTGTGACTGCCATGGGCATTCTTGTCCGGGCCTAGAGGTCCGCTGCGTTACATAGCACATTCGTGTGGGAGGAAACAATTTACCGTTGTGCCGCCGGCCACATGTGACCAAGGAAATATAATGGCGCGAAAGACGTAGAATGAAGAAGCTCGAGGATTTTACTGGGCGAAGTCCCAAGAATACACTGGCCGTGCTATGGTTAGGGTACACGGGAAGAATTCGGGTATAGTCCAGGAGGTGCGCAAGAACGGGCGGAAGCGCCCGATGGCAGACGGCATTCCGCTCTCCGAGGGTATAAAGTAATTGAGTATCATGGCTACCGGCAAGAGATGAGAAATGAGAGTTGCTGATGATACAAAGAGCTTTGTCCTCGACTAATGCGGGTAGTACAGACTTCGGTGGTAAAGAACCGTACTGCCGTAAGGGATAATCAAGATTTGATAATGATAGTCCTCCAGACCGGTCGACGCGAGCAAGCAGGACGGCATCGTGAGACGAGCGCACGTTCTTCTGAGGTAGGATATAAGGAGTCGAGGTGCTGATGCCATCTTAAAATAAGCGTGATCTCTCGCGTAGGATGTTGGGACAGCAGAGACAGGAACAGGGAGGGTAGAGGGACTTGAGACGTTGGCCGAGAAGCAAGTATGGAACGACTGTAAACAAGTCGAGAGTTGACGACGATGACATGCTCCGTGAGCACCTGGACTGAAACTGCGAGTCCTCCGTTGGTGAGGGGCGCAGCAGATAGTCAAGATCGAAGCTGCCGCTCGGTGTCCGAGAGTCCGGAAGTGGTGCAATAGCCTATGGACAGCAGCTTCTGAGGATGCGGAGGGAACAAAGGTCAAGTCTGGTGGTGTTCCAAGTGACGTTGCACCACGAGAGGTAGACGATGGAGCGACAATTGGACTCGGTCATTGGAGTATTGGGTGCTCGAAATATGTAGATCCAATAAGCAACTATAATACCGAGGCTCTGCACCACCATGCTCCGATGAAAACGAGCAAACGTTCTGCGGCGGTAGGATGGAAGGAATCGAGGCGCTGATGTCGTCTTACAGTAAGGAAATATTCGATATGAGGCCCTGGACGCGGAACGGAGGCCCGTAACAGTGGCCTGAGCGCCGCGCCGGAAGAGTTCAGCTGGAATTCGAGATCAAAGAAGTGAGCACGCGCTGGTGTAGAAGTCGGGTGAGAAGGAGAAGACGGCGCAAAGTCGTTTGGCGCCCAAGAGTCCGTAGGTCCAGAGATAGGATCTGTATTTTGACGAGGCTCCCGATCACACCTCATTTCAGAGACCACGGGTCGAGTGTGTTTGGGCCCATTGTAGTCTTGGAATAGTAGCTCTTAGTCTGCGGCGCCGCCGCGAGAGATAGGCTCATGTGTCTATCGTTGGAAGTTGACCTAAATGCGATGAGGAGGAGCTAGAGACAGATGGACAGAAGGGCGTTTCGTAGTTCTTGCACGGGACAGCAGAGACGAGAACAGTAACGATAGAGGGCTTGACGACGCAAGTATGGAAGGATCGTAGACAAGTCGAGAGTTGACGACAATGACATGCTCTGCGAGCTGAAACTTTGACAATGACGCTCCGTTAGTCAGGGAAGGAACAGCTCGTTCTGTCCGGGAGGGGGGGGGGATCA